AAAAAGTACGATGTAGTATTTTTTTAACATATAGCAAAACAAATTTGTTTGTATTATTTTTCCAAACATCGCAAAAAAAATTTTTGTAAAAAGTAAAAACAATGAATTATTTTTATTTTATAGGAGCAACTTATTTTTTACAGATATCTTAATAATTTTTAGATTTATATATCTTATATTTCTTTTGTTTTTAAATTAAAACAAATATTAAAGCTTTACTTACTAACCCCATGATTTTCATACGAGTATTTTACATTATATAGAACATTTTATATACGGTCTCTCATTTTTGTGCAAGAGAGCGCAGTATTATATATTCTGATTCTTACTTATTTTTATTTAAACGATGGGAACTATTTTCTAACTTCTCTGGTTATTTTAACGCTGTGACATTTTTTGTTTTCCGTCAAAAAAAAGTATTTATTAACAATTAATTTCATAAACTGACAGTATCAATTAGAGATATTTGATAAATTGTTAACTTTTTTTATTATAAAATTTTTTTGATTACGCTGATTTAATTTAAATTGCTAAAATTGGATACAGATAAAAAGAAAATATCATTTTATTTTACATTTGATTTTTGATAATGAAACTTTTAAAATGTCGGCAACTCCATACCAATTAGAACCTGTTAAGGTTATGAAAAAAAAGTACAAGAATACACTAAAAAATACAGTTGACAGTAGTATCAGATATGAAATTTTGTGAAAGGATATGTGAGATCCTGGTTTTGCATTAAAAGTACAATTAATAGCAACACAAGTCGACATTATAAATTTTGATTATAAGTTTACTGTTTAACATTTTATAACCATCAAATTAAAAACATGAAGTTCGTATATTTTCGTGCATTTTATACAACTAATATTTAACAAAAATACAGACAAATTATTATTAAATAATGCAATAATGAACACATTAATTAATGGTTATAATTCAGGATAGATGGTAATTTAAATTGTCAAAATGTCATAACGCACATTAAAAAACTTATTATATTTGGTATTTCCCAATTTGGGTCGTATTTGCCATTTGTCTCTTAACATAAAAAATAAAAAAAATTTTAAAAACACAATTAACAAATACAAATTATCAAGCAATTTTTCCAATTCTCATTTATTCAAAAAAAAGTTACTATTAAACAAGCCTTCCCAGAAAAGGCGTGCGGTTTTCTTTCTCGTACGACCACGAAAACGTTTTTCAAGTTAGAGAACATGACCACGTCTGTTTGCGCAAGTTATATTATATGCGTTACTGAAAAATTGTTTTAAATTTAATAACTGCATAAGAAATTAAAGTAAACTTAAACAGAAAACAATAATAATAGTTTAAATAATTTGTTTGTTGTTTTTATTATTGTTTTTTCTTAGTGGTTATTATTATCGGCAACAAAATTCATTAAGTCAAAGCAAAAAAAAAAAAAAACGGTTTTAGGCGTTAAAAAGGATGACTTTCCCATATTTTATGTGTTTTTTCTTTTAAAGAGAAAAGAGAAAATATGTATCATCATCTGTTTGTAAAATATATTTGTATAATTATAATGTAACAAGTTTATATCAAGAGTTAAATTATACGATCGCGTTTGCAAACTCTGGTAAAATATTAGGTCTTTAAAATTTTAGTTCATGCAAAGCTGTGTACTTTGTTTATAAGGAGCAAATTATTAAAAGTTTGCTAGCGAAAAAGTTACAAAAAACAAAACAAAAACAATAAACTTACGATTACAAAAGTAATAACACTTTAGTCACTAACTGCATTATAAAAGTAATAAAACTATAATAGTGTTATTACATTTATAAAGCACTTATTACTTTTAAAGTTCATTCTTTGTTCAAACAACATTACTAATTCCAAACATTTATTAAAGTAGAAAAGCATCTTGAAAAAATAAAGCGGATATTCAAATATTATTAAAAATTTCAGGAACTTTCACATATCACTTAAAAACGTTATAAAAAAATCTTTTCCTAGTCCTAAAAAAAATAATTTGCCACAATTATTGAGGATATTATACATTGGGATTATATAAGCAAGTTTCTTTGTCTTTAAAATAGTTTTAGGATCTTTGGGTAAGGAATATCGACCTAAAGTTTCTAAAAAATCAGATAAAGCATATGTCTCATATTAACTTTTACAGACTTAGTTGCAAGCAAGTCTTGTAAAAGTTTGTTATGCTCGTTTGTACACCTTTACTCGAACAAGATGGATAATAGTCATTACCATTATTCTCATCGTTTAAGAGAAAAAACCATTAGTAAGTATAACAGTCCTTTTTTTTTACTATTTAAAATAATCAAATCAATAAAAGGGATCCAACATATGGTGCCATCACTTTTATTTATATTTTAATTGGAAGTTCATAACAAAATAACTCTCTTGATAAATTAAAACATGGATATGCAACTAAAATCGGTAAAAAAAAAATATTAAGGATGCGTAAAATGTATGCATCAAAAATTATAGAAAAAACGAATAGATTTTTTTTCTTCCTATTTTATTATTTCCTAATGTCTTTAACATCTTTAAAAAATCGATTTTTAGTGTTGAGTCTATTATAATTATGAGAATAATAGAACTTTAAACATTGCGATTTTGTAGCAATGTGTCGCTAGCTACATATCGTAGCTTTGTAGCTAGCTACAAAATATCTACAAATCTGTAGCTGGTTGATAGATACAAATCAAATTTTTTTAGAAAACGACTTTATTACGATATGACGCTAGCTACAATAGCCAGTGGGACTTTAGCTTATTAAGATGGCTGTCCTCTTAACCAAATGTCTGTCTTTATCTTTACAAATATCAATAGCTTTTCGCTAACTTAAAAAAGCTAGCGATCCTCGTGGCCAAATTGCTATCTTTATCGTTACGATTATAGCTAGCTATGCGCTAGCCGATTTCCCACCGGGTTATTTATAAATAAAAAAGTTTTTTCAATAACTGTTTTATGCTTTGCATAGTTTGAAAAGTTTAACACATTTAAAACAATTTTTCTTAGTAAGATGAACAAATGAAATAATTAAATCATTGAGTTACTGTAAAAATTCAATAAGCTAAATAGAAATGAACTAAAAACGTTAAATTACTATGTGAGGAGGAAGTGGAACTGCTTCACAATAACGCTGAAGATGTTTAATGAGTGGGCTTTATAATTTTAATTTGTATTTAAAACAGAAAAAAGCAATTTTAAGTTTAAGTATTACAAGTTTGTAAGAATGACTGAAAATAATTGAAGTTAGTAAACCAATTTCTAAGAACTTAAAAACTTTTCTTTCTTGGGGGAAAGAATCAGTTATCGGGTACACTGAGGAAAATTGATTAGTGGTTAAAATTATTTGTATTAACTTTGATGATTATTAATAATTTCATTAAAAACGCAGTTATTATTGAAAGTATTTTTGTTTACAAAATCGATCGCACAAATTGCTTTAAAAGATTACATTTTTATTCAAATGTAATTATTTTATTCAAATGTAATCACATTTGAATAAAATACACATTCATAAAATTAAATGCACAAAAATTACATACATAAAAATATATTACATAAAAAATGCATTACATACATAAAAAATACATCCCTTATATAAAAAATAAGAATATACTAATAAAATCTATAATATATTTACAAAATGTTGACAAGATAAAAAAGATAAATTTAAAACATTTATTTATGTAAACAAATAATGTTAGTTTAAAACATTTATAGCTTTGTAGATGTGGCACCGAGAATTAAAATAATAGTTTATTTGATAGTATATTCTTAAAACAATTTATGCTAGAAATCTCAACGAAAACATAACAAAACTTAAATAATACAATTTTTAAAAATATTTCAACAGAATACTCTAGAAATTTTGGTTAGTATTTTTTGAACCAATAGAATTAAGTTTTTATAGATTTGGCGGGTTTTTTGTGTTCGCAAATATTCTTTTTTTATTTTCCGCACAAAGATGTTTGAGAACATTCGAGTTTATGTATGTTTCCATGTACGTCCGTAAAACAAAATATTTTAAAATTTACAATAAAATAATGAACTTAATTAAGGAAACATACATAAATTTAAATGTTCTCAAAACGACTAAAAAATCTGGCCGGTTTTTCGCAATTAAATATTATTTCCATGGTCAGTTATCGAGTGCAATCGCACCCGCTTCCCGACCAAGCCTGCATTCCTAAATTTTTTTTTTATTAGTTAGCAAAAGAAACATAAAACCCTAATATATGTGATCAATTCTCACCTTTGTATATGCTTGGAAGTAAAGGACTTGCAGATAAATAAGCAAAAAGGTAATTATTTACTGTCACAGATTGCACAAAATTAATTGAATCAGGCTATGTTCTTGTTTTTTTCTTAATATTTACCATATTTAAGGAAGGTATTAGTTAAAATGCCCTAACAACCTTTAAGATGCATTAAGATAAGTAAAACTAAGATAAGGGTTTTTCTCAGCAATCACAAGAACCATCATTAAACAAAAAGCATGTTGTAAACTTGCATGCATTTAAAAAGGAGAGAGCTTGCAGATAAGAATGTAAATCATTTATCAGCAAGATTTAAAATGTTATAACAGCAATAAGTTTACAAAAAGTTTGTAGCGATTAAACCAATTTAAAATATTCCAGTTGCCATAGTAGTTTTTATTATGATTTTGTTTGCTAGAAAATATTCTAAACATATTTTTAATTTAATGTCATTAAAATAATTTAAAAATGAATAAATACTGTACATATGCAGTAACAAAAATTTGAAATCACAACATAATCACAACATAAAAAAGTTCACAAAAAAAAAAAAAAAATATTTTGGTTTAGTTTTTTTAAAAACTATGAGTTTTTTCCTAATTCTTACAAAAACATCAAGAAAAAATTTGTATTAAAAGTAAACATAGGACAAAACAACCTTTATAATAAACATATTATCAAGTTGTAAAAACAATTTAACAGACCATATTATACTTGCATATATGGTGTATTACATTGCATATTATGACACACCTCTGTAATAAATGGGTCTGCGCCAACTAAGTTCTTTGCTTTTTTTAAATTCTAAATAAATTTTTAAAATGGCTATACAAAAAAATAAAAATAAAGATTTTGCATGTTATATATATTTTAAAACAAAATTATTTTGCCTATAACTATTTTATTTTATGAAAATTTATTATTCATTATATATTTAAACTAAGCTTTAAAACAGTGAAATTCTGATTTGAAAGTAGAGAAAGTGAAAAAAACAGTAACTTACTTGGCAGTAGAGAATGTGGTTCATTGATGTAATACTTTAAATAGTGTATCTCACAATCTAAAAACAAATTTGCGCACAAAAATTTAAAAAAAATTCACATTTTTTAAAATCAAAAAACAACAAATTAAAATACAACTAAACCAAAAAATAACCAAACAAAACAGAAAACTAAATAAACTATAAACAACAAAAATAAAAGAAACAAAAAAGGAAAATAATTTTTTTAAAATTCAAAAATTTATTTATAATGATTCTGGTGATAAATAAAGATTTAAAAAAACTTTTTATAATGGAGCTTTGTTATTAAATTACCCACCATCTTTAGTTTTTGTTCGCATTTTTTCTGACACTTCACTCCTAAAGTTTAAAATAGTTATATATTATTTTTTTCTTATTATTTCCACTATTCTTTCTAGTTGAACATAAATTTCAATTTAAAACAAGCTATCATTAATGTTGTAAAGTAAAACATTCTTTTACCAATATGGCACAATTTTAGTTTAGCTGTTAACATTAATTTAGAGTATTTTGAATAGTTTAGTTTTGTTGCTAACACTAATTTAGAGTATTTTAATAATTTTAGTTTAGTTGCTAACACTAACTTTCAGGGTATTTCAATAATTCTGAGCATGATTTAACTGTTACCAATCAGTAAAAATAAATTCAAAATTAAATCAAAAAAAAAAATGTTTTTGAGTTAATTTTTTGGCATATTTATTGATTTCCAACACTGCATGAAATGATTTGTAAATTATTTCATGCAGCGTTGGAAATCCATTATTTGTGATATTTTTTAGTAAAATATCAAAGATGAAATAAGGAAATGTATATGATATTTATTTGATAAAGTTGTATAATCTATATCATATTTATTTAGTTCAAACTTTGCTTATTTAATCAGAATACAAAAAATTAAACTGGAAGCGGTGTCAGCTGACTATAGCAACAGAGTGGCTAGAAGATATTGAAGTAATGTATTACTTATTTGCAAGAAAAATGTTTGTTAAACAAATCTTGGATGACATACTAAAACATAATCAATACATAAAATATGTATATAAAATGTTATCAAATATAACAAAGATTATCTATGAAAAACTATGTAAATAGAAAAAGCAAAATTTATTAACATGAACTTTGCTTTTTCTATTTATTACTTCATTACAAAAAATTTGTTTCACTTTCTAAAAACCACCTAACTCTATACTTACACCACTTTAAGCTTGTAAGCAGATTTTTGGATGCTAATATGGGTTTTCTAAAAGCTGCATAAACACTGACATTTTCCTTAAGTAAAATATTTCTAACTTTGTCTATAGAAATATATTCTTTAAAACTTTTATTAAACGTGTTAGGAAGTTCATGATAACTTCAGCTTGGATTGGGTCAGTGAAATTTTGTAAAAAAAATTGGGATAATAATAATAACTGCTCTCATGATATCTAGTTTTTTTTTTACCTTCTGAATCTTGCATAATATTGGATATTGTTTGTTTGCTTTCAGAGTATTTTTTTCGTATTATAATAGACTACTTATTATAATTTGAAAAAATATTAAATAATATATAAACAGAAGTTACTATTTGTAAAACAGTAACTTCTGTTTATATATTTATTAAAAATGTTTTTAGTGCCAGTAGAAACCTTGTTTTAGTTTTTTATGCAGTTGCCACAGCAACTCAGTAACACATGACTATTTTTATATAATATATATATTTTTTGAATTGGGAATGTTTAAATCATATTTTTAACAGGGTTCATCATCAGATCAGCGTTAATCAATATATTTGCTATAAAAATATACTTCTTCTAAAATGAATAGAAAACTATTATCAACACAAATATCAACAGTGTCATTTCAAATTTGGTTATACAGTATATAAAGCAAATCAAACATTGTTAAAATAAATCTTCACTATACTTCAATTAATGTAAAAAATTAAATTACCAATTTCCAAACCCATATTCTCTAGTAGCTTCCAATAGATATAATTCTTCTGCAGCAGTCCATTTATCATCAAACAGATTAAAGTTGTAACTCTACTTACAAAACAAGCATTGTATAACTTACTAACAACAATATGTGTAACACATAACTAACATATATAATACATAACCTATAATAAACAAGTATATAATAAACACAACCTATAATAAACCTATAATAACCTATAATACACAAAGAAAAATACATAAAATATATAATGCATAATTATGTATACATAAACATAATTAATAGCAATTAAACATAACTAAATAGCAATTAATTAAGTAATAAATTATTAATCAAATAATTATACAAATCTCAAACAAAACCAGACCTATTTTGATACTGCTGGAACAGTTCATCTATTTAGGACATAGTTTAGCAAGTTTATTTTTTCTTCAGGGCAATAAAATGGATTATAAAGTAATTACATGCCATAACTCGTTTGACGTTTAAAATTGTTGTTTGGTTATTAAAAATGAATCAAAATTACAAAACTTAATTTAAAGATAATGGAACGTAAGAAAGATAGAATGATTTTGAGAAATTCTTCAAGAGTAATGTTGACTTTTCCTCGTTGGAAAATTATAAGTTAAATCTTTTTAATAATAAACAAAAGTAAAAAGTCTTATAAGACTTAAATTTTTACTTTTGGTAATTTTAATATTAAAACTTTTGTTCATTTTTTTTCTAGGCACCAATAATAGTTTGAACGCAGACTCAGTGTAATGAAATCTGCACTTATTAAGTTGCCTCTTTAAACTCGCTATTTTATTTTATGTTAGAAAAACGAATTTTGAATAACTATGTTTACCGTAATTATCTCTTATTTAAAAGTGCCTCAAAGCACTGTAAAAATTATTAAACTTTAATAAAAATTAAACAAACAGAATTGCTAATATTTAAATTTATATTAAAATTAAAATAATAGTAAACACGTTTATTTAACACTTATACCTTGTATTCAAATAGGGTATTTCCATTTCCATTAATTTTTTTTCTTTGTTTTTACAATTGAATCTTTGACTTAAAGCAAAATATACATTATATATTTTGGGGCTATAGTCTCTTTTAGCCACTCCCTCTTCCCCTTCTTAAATCGGTCACTGCCTGAATCATTAAATATGTATATTTTTATCATTTTATTTTTTAATGTTAAAATAGTTTGAAAAATATAAAGATATTCTAGACACTATACTCCATAGAAATATTTGAAGAATACTATTTCTCATTGAAAATATATTTAATATGAGTTGCAGGGATATAATATTTCACTTGAAATATTCACAAGCAATTTATTTTCATAAAACTAACTACATAAACTCAACAAAATTGCAACTTCTGTGCATGACTTCAATGCATGAACATACATGAACTGCATTTCAGTAACTTTCAGGAAATCTTTAAGAATATAAAATAATGTTGTAAAAAACGTATACTGCTAACTTTTATCTGTATCATGTGTGATTCTATTTTAAACTTAATTTGTTCTTTCACAACATTACTAATGTAAACCAATTTTTGTTTACAAAATATTTATAGAAATATTATAGAGGTTAGAAAATATTATGGAGGTTAGAATTGGAGTTTTTATGAAAATAATAGACAAAACATATACATTTTTGCATGTACAATTTTTAGAAATGCTCACTATTTATACTATTATTTATACTATATATACATTACATATATTATATATATACTATATATACATTATACATACTTTATATATATATAATATATAGTGTATATAGTGTATATAATATATGTATATATATATATATATATATATATATATATATATATATATATATATATATATATATATATATATATATATATATATATATATATATATATATATATATATACATATACTATATACACTATATATATATTACATATATTATATATACATTACATAAATTATATATAATATATAATATAAATAATATATGTAATACACATACTATATATAATATACATTACATATATTATATATATTACATATATTATATATAATATTTACAAATAGCGTTATATATTTTAATTTTGCACAAAAGATCAAAAGCAATGAACACATTTAAAATAGATCAAAGAATCAAATTCATTTATTCAAAGTTTAATTGGAAACAATTGCAAAATATTCCTGGTATAAGTAAAATCTACCAAAAAAAAAATCATTTTAAGTATACTTATGCTTCTAAAAAATGACAAATACTTCTACTCTGTAGAACCTTAATCTGTGGATTGTTAAATTTGCTTATTCAACTGCCGCACCTAAATTCCCGATATCACGAAAAAGCTTTGTAAATTTTTTTTCTGTCTAACACATTGTGAAGAATAACAACCCTCTCTCAGACAAAGTCTAAAAGTAATTGTCTAAAAGCACATTGTAAATGTAATTAGACCTGCTTTATCTGCCAAGCTTAAGCCATTCTCCCAAGGTTGCATTTTTTTCTTTTTTATACAAATACTATCATGGTCAATGCTCAAACAAGCTATTATCTCTAGTTTGACAATCCAAAACTCATTCTTGCTTGGCTTCTTAAGTCACATCCTTTTACTGTATTTGTCCCTTAATGTTATAAAAAGTTTTATTAATCCAGTTTTTTTGCTTGCACATCAACAAAACCTCATAACTCTTACACAGTTTTAATTAGTTTTTAAAATGTATATAAATAATGCCAGTATTTTATAAATAATAAATGTAAGCATAAACTTATAATATTTAAAGTATTACAAATGTTTTTCTACCCCAGGCTATTAACCCCCTGTTAAATCTTATAATTTTGCTAAAGCAGGGTTAGCGAAAAGTCTCATTTTTAGCCAGGACCAGGGCCTCAATCACTTGCCAAATCCAACTGTTTATTTTTTAGTTACAACATGTAAAACTAGAAAGCTGGAAGCTTTACACTCACAATTTCAAATGCATAAATAATTCAAAATGCAAAATTTTCATCTTTTAAAGTTCAAATACAAAATGCTGCAGCTAAAGTACATAAGAACCAAACAGGTATAATGACTGATAATTTGAACACAGATAAGTAGCCTAATATTAGTCTAGTAGACTGTATGTTGTAATTAAAAATCATCGGGATTTCAAATACTAACCTTTGCAATCACTCTCAAGAGTCTAGCTTTGCGATCACTCATTGCTGCCCCATACACTGAAAACACACTTTCGTTGGTACTGGTAGCAGGAATAAACAATTTACTTGCAAACTATCGGAAGCTTATGTTCATGGTCATTCTCTTTCCAATATTACAAATCATCAAACAAGTAAAAATTCAGAACATTAACAACGCTTGAAAATCTCTAATATTTACATACACTATTTCTGTTATGGTAAGTGATGGCAGCATAACAACAAATTAAAGTGATAAAAAAACTATTTTATCTTAAAATAAAGTGTGACTCGTTTTCCTGACAACCCTAATCATTAACCTTCACTCCTTGACTTATGTCTTGTCTCTGACCCTAGCCTATGTTCAGTTTCTCCCTTTTCTCCCTTAGGTGGTTCTGACCATGCAATGATCTCTATAAATCTTTCTTCTCATACTTCTTTTTTGGGCTCACCTTATCATCGCACCACCTACTACTACCCTAAAGCTGACTGGGATTCCTTTCGTGATTTTCTTCGTGATGGTCCTTGGGCTGATGTTTTTTCTCTCTCAGCTGACAAATGTGCCTCCTACGTAACCTCCTGGATTCAGGCTGGAATGTAAGCTTTTATTCCTTCGCGTCGGTTTCAAGTCAAACCTCATTCTACTCCATGGTTTTCTCCTTCTTGTGCGGCTGCTATATCCAATCGTAATCATTTTTTTTTCATCTTTTTCAAAAGAACAACTCTCTTGAGAACAAACGGCTATTTATTATTGCAAGAAATCGATGTAAAAAGGTGCTTTCTGATGCTAAACTCCATTATTCTCAGTTCACTAAATCTCGCATCTTATCGCAGAAGTTAGGCTCTAAAGACTTTTGGAAAATCTTCAACAGCATTATCAACAAGGGTAGATCTAACATTCCATCTCTCATTCATGGGACTGATCTTATTACCTCTCCCAAGGATAAGGCAGAACTATTTGCAAAGAACTTTTCTTCTAATTCCACTCTTGAATCTTATGGACATTCTCTTCCTTCCACTCCAGTCAAACAGGTTGACCCATTGTTAGACATTCAAATCACTCCGGCTTCTGTTGCTAAAGTCATATCTCAATTAAACTCGTCTACAGCTTGTGGTCCAGACAACATTCCTGTCACAGTCTTGCAGAATTGTTCTCCAGAACTTTCTTCAATTCTCTCTAAACTATTTAACAAGTGTTTGACTGAGTCTTGTTTTCCTGCTTGTTGGAAAATGGCATCTGTGGTTCCAATATTCAAAAACTCTGGAGAAAATTCTGACCCCTCCAATTATCGTCCGATCAGTCTTCTTTCTGTTATTAGCAAGGTTTTTGAGTCTTTGATCAACAAATTCCTCACATCTCATCTTGAGTCAAATAAACTACTGTCAGACAATCAATACGGTTTTCGATCCTCTCGCTCTACGGCCGACTTGCTAACTGCTGTAACTGAAAGATTTTATCGTGCATTAGATGGAAGCAGTGAGGCTAGGGCTATTGCTCTCGACATATCTAAAGCTTTCAACAAAGTTTGGCATGCTGGTCTTCTCCATAAGCTTGCTTCATATGGTGTTTCTGGGAAAGTTTTTGAGATTATCAAATCATTTCTTTCTAACCGGTTTATTAAAGTTTAAATTTCTTTCTAAAGTTCACAAGTTTAAATTTCTTTCTAACCGGTTTATTAAAGTCATCCTTGAAGGCCAACACTCTTCTTTATTTCCAGTAACTTCTGGGGTTCCCCAAGGTTCCATCCTGGGCCCTGTTTTGTTTCTTATCTACATAAACGATCTTCCTGACAACCTTTTATCAAAGTAGCTCTTTTATCAAAGTAGCTCTTTTATCAAAGTAGCTCTTTTTGCTGATGACTCAACTTTATACTCCTGTCTTGACAAAAAGTCTTCTCTTTTCGATCGCCTAGAACAAGCAGCTGATCTTGAATCTGATCTCACTTCAGTAATAGATTGGGGTTCACAGTGGCTTGTGAATTTCAACTCTAAAAAAACCCAGTTGCTTACTGCAAACACCTACCGTAATATGGTCAACATTCCTATATTAATGAATGGCAATCCTCTTACTGAGTCGTCCTCTTTACGTCTTCTTGGATTATCGCTTACTACTGACCTTTCATGGAAACCATATATACAATCGATTGCTAAATTAGCTTCTGCTAAGGTTGCTTCTCTTTATCGTGCTCGCCATTTCCTTACTCCTGATTCCATTCTCTACCTCTACAAATCTCTTATTCATCCCTGTATGGAATACTGTTGTCATATTTGGGCTGATTCTTCTTCTAGCATTTCATTTTCTCTTCTTGACAAGGTCCAAAAACGCATTGTAAATGTTGTTGGATCTGCTAAGCTTGAACCTCTTTCCCATCGTCGTAAAGTTGCATCTCTTTCTCTTTTCTACAAATACTATCATGGTCACTGCTCAAAGGAGTTATCATCTCTAATTCCATCAACTAAAATTCATTCTCGTTTTACTCGTCATTCAGCTAAGTCTCATTTGTTTACTGTATCTGTCCCTGCATGCTCTAAAAACTTTTATTCATCTAGTTTTTTTCCCCGCACTTCAATCCTTTGGAACTCTCTCCCATCTTCATGTTTTCCTGACTCATACAACCTTCAACTTTTCAAGTCTTCTGTCAACCGTTTCCTTGCTCTATAGCTCTGTTTTTTTTTTTCCTAGTAACTCCCAACGTAATAGCGGTTGCTTGCAGCCTTGTTGGGAGTGAATGCAAATAGAAAAAAAAAAAAAAAAACATATGGTTGCTGTCTTATAACATATGGTTGCTGTCTTAAAACATATGGTTGCTATATTAAACAAGCTATATTAAATCTATATTAAACCAAAAGTTTAAAGTTTTTAAAAAGTTTAAACTTTTTAAATAAAACAGTTCATATCCTGCCAAAACAAAATGTTTAAAAACTATACTACATTAAACGTAAAAGATTAAATAATGTAAAATAATTAATAAATAATGTAAATTTAGTGAGATAAATCAGAAAAGAATAATATAATAATAAAAATTCTTGGCTACACATAGTTGGCTACACAAGTTATCATAATGAATCATTCACAATTTTTACTATTGTTTTAATATATCAATCTAAAATTTATTATCAAGTTATAAATAGTTGTCACATCTTAACTACCCACTTATAAAATCAGTATAAACATAAACTTGTTTCAATAATCAATAACTTGTTTACCCAAAAACTGGCACAAATCTGATAGTAATGTATACTTGGTTTGTAAGTTAGAGTCATTATGCCAGTGTTAGGATAAGTGCGTACTTGAATGTATACAACAAGACATACTTAGTCCAGTTATAAAACCACTAAGTACAATTTTGTCACCTTTAGGTTGTGCAGATAGGCATCCTCATAGTTAACACTTGCAACAGTGTTTATAAAATAGACAAAAACATTTCTCAAAACATTAATATATAAAGAATTATGATAGATTTAAAAATAGCTCTATTAGGAAAATCATTAACTTATTTATACCTTAAAAACATATTGATGATTGCTTTTATGGTTTGTTGTTTCACTACCTTTGGCAAAGCACTATATAGAAAAAAACATATACTCATATATAACAATTAAAATAATGCAGAAATACATTAAATTTTATCATTTTTTAAAAACCACAATAATAATGACTAGAGACTAGAAATACAGAAATACATGTGTATATATATATATATATATATATATATATATATATATATATATATATATATATATATATATATATATATGGAAAAAAACATACTGAAACTTTTTAGTCCCTGTGTAATAAGTTTTAGGTAATAATAATATATAATAGTTCACGACCAGGAGATAATCCACAGCAAAAAAGGTGGTAGTTCTCCCTACAAGAAGTGGTCCTTTCCCATAAAAAACACAACAAAGAAGAAAGCCAAAGAATGTCAATTACCAATAAATTAGATAACAATGGTTTTGTCCTGCCTGTAAAAATATATCATCAGTAACAGAAAATGTTCAATGTTTTTGCAAATCCAAGTTTCACATTGTTTGCCTATCTATTCCAAAAGAAGACAAAGTAGCCAGCAAAACCACTGTTTCAAATTTTCTTCTCCCTTCAACTAAGAAAAATTTTCTGTTCTTTTGTGATGTATGTCTGGCCAACCTAGAAATAAATTTATCTAAATCTAAAACATTGAGGCTGAACTTTCTAGAATGTAATGTTACTGATATCAAAACTCAGCTCAATAAAATAAAACAACTGTTAAACAAAAACTCAAATGACACCAAATTGGAAAAAGATAATTTATGGTTTAACAAGGAAAGATTAAATACAGTGAAAACTCCAATGCCAGACTCTCTAATATTTATCGGAAAAATATCTGATGAAAAAACTAACAAAAATAACATAGATATAATTGAAAACATAGTTATGAATAATAATATTCAATTGAAAAATTTGTATCATAACAAATCAGGGAATCTTGTCCTAGTATGTAACTCAGAAGAATCTAAAGATCAATTGCTAAATTCTCTCAAAGACACGAACAATCAAATAAAAGTAAAATCATATCAATTAAACATGCAAAAAATTATCATCAGTGGTTTACTTAGATAGTATAATGAAAATGAAGATGTTAATATGCTACACTCACAGAACAGTTTTATCCAAGAATTTAGCAAGGTGAACAACATCAAAGATCCTTTTAAAATAGAAGCTATCAAACCGATAAAAAACAAACCAACAATGTTTTAAGTCTTTGCGAAAATAAGCAAAACATTACGAGAAGGCTTTCAATGTTATGAAAACAAAGTCACACTCGGATTAACGTCCTGCAGGAAATATGACAAACTCAATGTAATGCATTGTTTTAACTGTCAAAGCTTTGAACATTATGCGAAGGAATGCAAGAAAAACGATCCAATATGTGCTAAATGTAGCAAGAAACATTGAACCGATCTATGCTCGTCTTTGGATAAAAAATATGTTAACTGTGTTTTAGAGGGACAAAACGATCACTTTCACTGTGCATTTGATATTAAATGTCCTTCTCTTGAAAGAGAAAAGAATACTTTAAAAGAGAAACTTGATAATAATCATTTAAACGCCAAGTCCAGAAGGATGATAGAACTTACATGAGTTGTATATTATGCTCACTATGGAATGTTTGTTCTCTTATTAATAAACTTCCAGATTTAATGGAGCATATACTTGATAGGAGCCCAGACATTTATTAATAATGCACAAGTCTATTATCCAGGAAGCGCCAGCATCATTGTGTAATTTGATTCACTTCTCAACGTCAGAGAGAGAACTCTGAAATTAAAAGAAACAAAATCCAGCAATCGTTTTGGTGATTGGAGGTATCCCACTATGGTCCTAGACTTTGGAATATTCTTCCAAGTATCATTCGAGATGAAAAAAACACAACTATTTATAAGAAAAAACTAAAATCATATTTAATGGTGAATAGCAAAATATTCCACCAGAAAACTCTAGAATATTAAAAATTATAAAGTAATACAATAATTTATTGTACAGCTGAGCAAGTGTTTTGCCAGCTTACCCTTTATTTGGGCAAAACAGTAGCTGTGGGTAAACCCATGTATTTATTTATACATACATATATATAACATTAAATGCTCTTCCGCGGTGCTCTGTGATAAGACCGTAAGGACTTCTTGGGGCACCTTAATCAACTTAAAAAAAAAATAAAAAAGTCTCGGTATTAAAGTAAGTAAAATTGGCCTCCCAACCATTTTTAAATTTCGACCTGCAGTCAGCAAATATTAAACACTTAGGATCATTTTTTTTTAGAACTTCACCATTTCAATTTTGTACTTTAGTCAGCAAAAATACAAATTTAACGCTCCCCCGACCCCCATTAAATTCTCTTTGATACACCTCTAATTATTAGAACAAAATAAAATTGTTCGATCATTAATTTGTTAATTTAAAATAGTTCGATCATTAATTTCATTAAATTGTTTAAACATTAAAGTACTAGTTTATGTTTAATTATTTTACGAACTTTTTTTAATGCATTTAGAGAAAACTAAATAAATTTAGTTAAAAAAATACTCCGATGTACATTGGCTGCAACGTTACATTATTAGTGGAGGGGGGAGGAGACAGGCAAAATAACGAATCAGATTAAACTACCGAAAAATGCAATTGAATCAACAACAATAAAATAATTTCTCTAGAAAAATCTAAGGAGGGCTTGACATGCTAGTCTCCCGTTGCTGCGCCCTATAGTATACTTAAAACAAAAATCTTTCTAATTTTCATACTTACTTAATAATCATTTTTATATTCTTATTACTATATATTTAAACTAGAAATTCTACATTGATGTCTGACACATTTGGCATTTATGGAAAGGTAAGGAACTAAATTGGCTCGAATGGAATGAATAATGCTTGTAGATTGCATCTGTAAAAGCTGTATATTTTTAAGAATGTTTTAATTGTGTAATAAGGAAACATTTTTTCATTTTTTTTTAAACTCATCACCATTGATCATTTGCCATTTATTTAAATTTACGCTATAATGAAATTAATTGTAGTAATTCCGATCCTACGATTTTTGAAAGACTAGACAATATAAACATAAACTTAAAATGAATTATATTACCACCAAAAATCATAGTTTATTTTTAATGATTTATAAAACTTGTATAAAATAAACAAAATATTTCAGACCAGTTCAGATTATTTGTTTGCACTTAAATTGATTAACGAATTTAAAAATAAGTTAAATAACGACTTGTAATTTGTAATGATTTTTTAAAGTTTAAGCTGTGTAACATATTATCATTAATTTTGATACTATAGGTTTTAAATAGCGTTATGTTTAAATTTATTTAGTATAATAACATATGACTTTTTCACCGCACGGAAACAAAAGATAAAAACTCTTGGTATCGATTTCGTGGTGGGGGAAAGCAACAATGATGGTCGTAATCTTAATGTTAAAAACAACAAAGTCAACAGCAGCCAATATGAACATAGTAAAATAATACGAACACTTCAATCATCATGGTTGAAAGAATATTCTTGGCTTCGATACAGCAAAGTATCAGAATTAAATACGGAAGAGGCAACGAAGATTGTCAAAAGCAGTCTGAAAGAACTAAAGAACAAGCGAAAAAAAACTAAACAAGTTAAGGATAATGAAATTCAGGATATCATGATTTGCTTTAGTTGCCGTGAGAAGCATTACCACGCTCATCAGTTAACCAAAAATCACACACCAACAATAGAGGAAATCAAGCAATATCCGTTTGTATTTGGTGCTACTTCTTATAGAATCGAGAGTGTCAGTAAGCATTGCAAACTAACGAATATTCAGCACACCCTCGCAATGGACAGGCAACAAAATTTACAAAAAGAAAAACTCAATAAGTTCAGCGAAGTTCAAAGGATAAAAATAACCTTATCAGAAGCTCTAAAACCACATTTGCAATTTATATTTCGAAATATGTATGGTGTGTTGAAAGAGGGAAAACCATTTTCCGATTACGAGTTTTTGGCAAGATTGGACAAAACGAAAGATGTAGGAACAACATATCACAATAGACAAGCTGGAGTCGATTTTGGTTTAGCAATAGCAGATATTTTTTTAAAGGAATTCAGAATGCAATTCTCAACAGCTAAATTTTTTAGCATTATTATGGACAAGTCAACTGATGTTTCTAAACTGGAACAAATGGTTGTTTACCTGCGATACTCGATAAATGGAAATATTGTGACAAGATTTCTGGCAATAGACAGTGTAACACGACCTAACGCAACACAACTAACAGCCTTAATACTAAAAATTTTAAAATCTGAAATGAAACGGGATCCCCAAAAAAGCTGTTAGGAACAGCTGCAACTGAAGAAGATGTCGATTCAGTATATATATAGTATATACTATATAGTATACATTTCATGTATACTATATAGTATTTAATAACAATACCAAGTATTTTTTAATAAATAATAATTTATTTTAATAATAATATATCTACATTTATATCAATATATAAGACAGTAAACAGTTATATCGATAAAGCATTCACAATAAATCGAAAACAATATTGTTAACGTTTTTGTTTACAGGTTTACAGGTTATATATCAATGCACGAAATTCAGTCTTCACTCGATCATGCAGTTGTCAATTTAGAAAGATTTGAAAAAGATTCAGACTCCAGTTTTTTCTGGTCAAAGCGCTCTTTATATGGAATTGTAAATTCAAACAAAGTGATAAAATACGAAGCTTGAGTTCGTATTGCAACATCTATGAAGGAGTGTATTTTAAAACGATGTTCAAATGTACCGGATGTGTTTGCCGAGGCGGACGATTTGCTAAACACGGCTGAATGGACAGATAGTGAATTCTTTACAACTGAAAACAATAAAATAAAACATAAAAACATATTAGACAATAATATTAAAGCCTTTATTGACAACGAAATGTTATGCCAACAACTTGAAAATAAAATATAGATATTGGAAATATCATACCGGAGTGGATATCGTTAAAGAATATAATGAAAACGTGGACAATTGCTAGCTCAAAATCATTTCTGCC